CATTTTTTTCTTTCAAACAAGTATGCCTTTTCTTTTTCATTTTCACATTCATATTCACAATTTTCTTTTTCAATGCTTGTTTGGAATTTTTCAAAATTTAGAGTAACCTACCACTTTTCTTTTTACTCTCCCCAACTTGGATTCAACCAAACCTCAAGTGAATGTTCCATGCTTTTTATGGCAAGGAAGACAATTTAAAACAATGTCCAAAGGTTCAAGAAAATGGTAAATAACCTTTATGAAGGATCTTAGCAGTAGATGGTGATTGACCTAGTGGTAAGGGTGCTAGTCATAGTAGGGAAGGGATATAAGTTCAATCCTTCTTTATTATAAAATTTTGATTATTTAGGTATTATAGTTTTGGGTTAAATATACAACACCCCCTCTAATGTTAGCGAGTTTCGGTTTACCTCTTATAAAAGAATTTTTTTTATTCCCCTTGTAATGAGAAGATTTCCTCACTATGACCCATGAGTACACTATTTACTGATGTGGCATGTATATGTGTCATTTAATTTAATTTTTTATTATTATTTTTAAAATCCACATCAGCAAATAATAAAAAATAATTTTAAAAAATTCCATGTGGTATTTTTTTTAATTTCTTTTTAAATTTTTTTTTATCATGGGGTAAATGAAAATCGCTCATATTATAGGGGTAAAATATATTTTTGTTGGTTTTAATGTTTTTTCAATTGTTATCATTTTAGTATTCACACAACACTTGTAGCACCAAAATGAAAAATAAAAGATCAATGAAAAAAGCTTTAATATGCTGCATATGAAATACTTTGCAGTTGAGGCACTCTTTAGTTACTATTAATTTGAAAGTTTTAATAAATAAATACATGTAGACATTTGAAAGAAGCTCACAATAAGACACATTAAATTGAATGACTACTTTTTGGTTAACCAATAGAATAATTGTTTTAATATAATGCTTAGTTACAATAATAACCTCTGTTCATACATCACTCAGAGCTTCAAATTTTAACTAAACTATATGCACTAATCATCATTTGAATTAAGTTTATCGTTATCTCTTTTTCATTATACAGGTCAACTAATATCTTAAATGCATGACTACTGTACAAAAAAGTTTATACTAATTTAGATACATTACACATAAAATGCAAACTATCATGAAATTTTTTTTATTCAAACCTAACATACTACCTAAGGCCTAATAGAGACAATGCAATAAGCAGTAAGGACAATGCCATATATGTGCAGAGTGGAATAATACATACAGAACAAGGGATGTCGTTAATGCAGTTTGATCCAATTCAATCACGTTTATTTGATAAACTTAACAATTCTCATTTTTAAGAAAAAAAAAGAGTTTTGTAACTCATCACACCCGATGATTAATGTGAAAATATGTTATTTCTATATATAACAGATATCACTCATACATGAATGTAAAGGGATATGAGATATATAATAAGCCAATAACTACCACGGGATACTAGACGGCCTCTTACTACATGAATAACACAATACGAACGAACTTGCAATATTAAATTCTCTCTTTAATTATCAAAGTTTTTTTCATTGATCTCTTATTTTTCATTTTAATACTACAAGTCTTATTTTGATGCTATAAGTGTTATGTGAATACTAAAATGATAACAATTAAAAAAAAATATTAAAAACATCAAAGATATATTTTATTCCCTATAATATAAGCGATTTTTGATTTACACCCTCGTAATAAAAAATTTTTTAAAAAGATTTTAAAATTTTAAATTTTAAAAATGTCATGTGGAATTTTTAAAAATTATTTTTTATTATTTGGTGACGTGGATTTTAAAAAAATAATTAAAAAATTTAATTACATGACACGTTAGTAAATAGTGCAGTCGGAAGTCATAGTAAGAGAATCTTCACATTACAAGGGGAGAATAGAAAATTTTTTTTACAGAAGATAAACCAAAATTTGCTAACATTACAAGAGGTGTTGTATATTTAACTCTACAATTTTTTATCTTAAAAAATCATAAATAAAAAAATCATATAAACTTAATAAAAAATTAAAAAAATTACTAACTTGACAATCCACGTTATTAAAATAAATAGAAAAAAAAATCATATAAACTTAATAAAAAATTAAAAAAATTACTAACTTGACAATCCACGTTATTAAAATAAATAGAAAAAAAATCCGCCACGTCATTATGAGAGGACAAAATAGGAAAATCTTCCTAAGATAGAAAGAGAATCCATTCTTTTTTTTACAAAGTGTTATTTTTAAAAATCGCTCATATTTATAAATAGATAAATTGGTTGAATCCCTATATAAAATATAGAGATTAATTAATATGCAAATGTTTTAGTCTGTCAATGTATCGCAATCATCTATATATATTACTTTTTAAATGGTTAAAATAAAAATCAAATATTTTAACCAAATCAATAGTTGTAAAAAATTGACAGTGTAAAAAAATTATACACTATCGAAGTATATCAATTAAATTCTAAAATATAATCAAAACTAACAAAATTTGATTTTGCTTTTAGAAGTATAATATTTTAGATTTTTTAGAAAAAGAAAATCATTGGGATAAAAAGAGTTATTTAAATTCACTTTAACTAAAATGATATTACTATATAAAAATTAGAATAAGTTATAAACTTGTTTTAAAAAAGTTACTTTCATTAATTTAATTATTAAACTTTATAAACATAATGAAATATTTAAAATCTATGAAATCCACCATTTTAATTTTAAAATATATATAAATTCAACATTTTAATAATTATTAGTATTATGTTTAATTTTTTTATTATGTAGGTTAATTTTAAAGTTCATTTTACTCTTAATAATTCATTAACTTCTCATAATTTAAAAAATTTTCATATATATTAATTCATTAACTTTTCAAACCATAGTTTGTTAAATTAGCGAAGAAAACAAATTTAAAACCAATCACTAAATTTATTATAAATTAGACGAAAAAAATAATATAATATATTTCGAATTGTTAAAAATAATTATAATTTTTTTATCCGATGGACCAAAATGAATCTCAATGCTAACATATTAGACACAAAATATTAAATCTAAAAAGTAAATTGACCGGTTTTATATAAATATGATTAATTTATTATATTTCCATAATCAATTTATTAAATTAAATATATACTGATAATTTAAAAGTTAAAGTGATAGTTGAAACCATAATATATAAAAATTATATTTTATTTTATAGTAAATTATTTGAAAAGGAGATGGATAAAGCACCATAAAAATTTATTTAAAAGGGTCCCACCGCATGTAACTAATGACCCACAAACCTCTTGCCATGATGGAAAATCAAAATGTGCCCCATTTGGTTCTAATACCACCACCATTCGATGGCCACATGACTCCTATGCTTCAACTAGCCACAGTCCTTCATTCAAAAGGCTTCTCCATCACCATAGCACACACCCATTTCAATTCACCTGATCCTTCTAATCACCCTAATTTCAATTTTATACCCTTCTTTGATGGTTTATCTGATACCCAAATTACATCTAAGAATTTCATAGATATTACTTCAACTCTAACTACCAATTGTGTATCTCCACTTAAGGAGACATTAATTCATCATATGGCCAAATTAGAAAAGCATGATGAAAAGATTGCGTGTATCATCTATGATGGATTTTTTCATTTCATTGATTCTTTAACTAAGGAATTAAAGCTACCAAGTATTGTCTTTCGAACCACTAGTGCTACTAATTTCCTCACTTATCATGTCTGTGCTCACCTACAAACCAAAGGGTACCTTCCCTTGCAAGGTTGTATATTATCTTAATATAGACACGTTACTTTAACTTTCGTACTATTTGTCTTGTTTCAAATGAATTTTAGAACCAATATTATATTTTGATTATTATATAGATTCTATGTCGTTGGATTTGGTACCAGAACTGGAGTTGCTGCGATTCAAAGATTTACCTATTTTCAATTTGACAAATCCACATGATTTCCTTCATAGCATATCTAAAACACTTTCAATAACACCTTTAGGTGTTATTTTCAACACTGTTGAAAGTTTAGAAGATTCATCTCTAAATCATCTTCAACATCTATATAATGTTAATCTCTTCCCCATAGGCCCTCTTCACATGATTGCCAATGAGTTTGATAATATCAGCATTCTCCGAGAAAAGGAGAATTGTATATCTTGGCTAAAAAGCAAACCAAGAAAGTCTGTGTTATATGTAAGCTTTGGAAGCATTGCTAGTTGGGAAGAGAAAGAGCTAACTGAAATGGCTTGCGGCTTAGTGAAGAGCAGACAAAATTTCCTTTGGGTTATTCGACCCGAGACAGTTACCGATGTTTCGGTGTGGTTAGAATCATTGTCGGAAGATGTTAAGTTAGGTGTAACAGAGAGGGGTTGCATTGTGAAATGGGCACCTCAAAGTGAGGTTTTGGCACATGAAGCTGTTGGAGGCTTTTGGAGTCATTGTGGTTGGAATTCAACATTGGAGAGTTTGTGTGAAGGAGTACCAATTATTTGTCAACCTTATTTTGGAGATCAGAGGGTAAATGCTAGATTGTTGAGCCATGTTTGGAAGGTGGGTTTGGAATGGTGTAATGTCATGGAAAGAGATGAGATTGACAAGGTTATTAGAAGACTTATGGTGAATCAAGAAGGAAAGGAACTGAAACAAAGAGCAACTGAATTGAAGCATGAGATTAGGTTGTCTGTGAATGGTTCTTCCACTGATGCATTAAATGGGTTGGTAAAATGCATCTTATCATTAGAAGGAAGCAAATTGTAGACACCAATTTTGAGTGTTCAAGTATGATTTTTATAATTGAATAAAACTACATTTTTGAGAGTTAATTATTTTTCTTAAAATTAAAAATTGCATTAAGATCCCAAGAGCATAACATAACATATAACATATAGCATGTTAGCATATTACACACTTAAAAATACACATAAACAAAGATATATAAGCATAATATTTAGAGTTATGGCAACAAACTGAAGAAACACCAATCAGTCGGTGCCTTCAATTTCAACGATCCTAATGTTCCTACCACCAGAAACAGAGGAATGTTCAAGCTTAGGAACAGTGACAACAAGAACACCATTAACCATATTAGCTTTAAGCTGGTGAAGGTTACCATCATCTGGAATCTTAAACCTGCTCATGAAATTACCACTCTCAACACTGACCTGAAGCATCCTCTCATCTTGGAGTTCGACCAACACGTCTTCGTTGGTGAAGCCAGGAAGCACCACCTTCCACACGTGAGCTCTAGGGGTTTCTTTCCAATCCAGACGCGTGTTTGTGGATGATCCGAAGCCGAATTCAGGGAAGAAGTTGGAAAAGGGAGAAGAGAGTGGGAAGTGAAAGTCCATGAAAGGGTCCAACTGAAACATGAGATTTGGATCCCATAAGTTCAGAGTGTTTGAATTGGAACCATTTCCTTGACCTTCGTTGATGGGTATTATCGACATCCTTAGAAAGATTGATTTTGTAGCAACCTGGTGTGTACTATTGTTGAACTCTAACTCTCGAAGGAGCTTAAGAATAAATGGATTCCCTTACTTTGAATGTTCTAGAAACTTATGGAGACTTCTACTTTTTCCATGTTTTTCTTTTATGTAAGATTATTTAGGGGATGGTGTTTTTTGCTATTAATAATTTTATTTGTTTCTTAATAAGACAAAGAGAAAGAGACTCTAATATTATCTAGAGGAAGAGGCTCTAATAATTTTATTTGTTTATTAGTAAGATAAAGAGAAAAAGATTCTAATATCATATTCAGATTTAAGTGATAAATTAAACAATGTTGTGATCAAAGATAAATTAAACAATGTTGTGATGAAAGATCTGTCAACGACTTAAATAATTTTTGTAATAGTCCTTCGCATATTAGGGTAGATAAGGTAGCTTTCTCTGGTTCTCATTGTAGGAAGACCGAAGAGATTTATATACCATATACTATCCATCATTGAAGAGGTATAAGTGGACGTCTAAAGACGATAATGATGACACACATGCTAAAGTGTCTAATCCTGATTCTGTTAATACAAACACACATGCTGAAGTGCCTCATCTTGATCATTTTGATACAGAGGTATAAATGTTTTTATTTAATTTAATTTTATGTATTAGCAGTTAGTTTAAAATAATCAATTTTATATGAATTAATTATGATAGAACCTCATTCCATTGAAGGTCATTACTCATAGGATGAAGTTGGATAACTTTTCAGATGTGCATATACATGATAAGGTCATGAGTTTATTAGATGATGGTGGCTAGCTCCCTCAAGTGCAATGTTCGCTCGCCATGATTGACGAACCTTTGTTTTCTACATTCGTGAAGCGATGGCATAACAATACATATTTATCTCATCTTCTACTTTGGGAGATGAAAATCGCCATGGACAACTTCTCTAGCATATTCCATCTCCCACTCTCAGGTAACTTTTTCACCTCTCCATTGATGAGTGTTGAACTGACTATTATAAGTGTAGAGACATATGTGGGCGTTACACACATATTTTTTTGAAAGAGTTTAAGTTTCACGTGACACTCATTTTCGTTTCTCTTGGCTTTGTGACACTTATGTATCATTAGTAGAACATGATATGTACATGAAAGCCTCTAGAGTATACATGATGCATATGGTTGGATGTGTTATTTTTGTAGATAAGTTGTAATGTTTACATTAATACGAGGTATATATTCCAATTCATCGATCTTGGATTTCATGTATGAGCATAGGGATATGTTTCTACGAAGCTTCTCTATCATACTCTTGGGAAGACTACTACATTTGAAATGAGGCAACTTGATGGTTATATGAGTCTCTTTCAATTAAATATATTTATTGTATTGCTTGTAAGTGTTAATATAAAGTTGTGTGATTTTGATTTGTATTTTTTAGTGTAGTGTAGGATGAAAATTTCCCAGTTCTTGCCATAACTTTTTTTAACTAATTTAGTAAAGGGTAATATATTAATAACCTTCACAAAGAACATAGATCTCCTCTTGAAGATCAGAAATGCAAAAGATATTGTCTTAATGGTATTGATCCTTCAATTTCCAAATTTCTTGAGCAATGTCATCCACATCACACTATGAGTAATTTCTACATCAACTGAGTTGGTTAACCAAGTCATTATCATTGCATCTCATTTGTCTCGAGCAATTGATAATTGGTTCGAATCTTTGTTCAATTTAGGGTTTTGTCGAGAAATCATAGTTTGTTTTTCAATCTCATAGCCATGGGCATCGATCTTGACCTCTAATGATGATTTGTATTATTTAGCATTAGGGAGACTATTGATATGCATGGATTGACGCTTGGATGCATAAAAACTAGATCGAGCATATTCATTTGATAGCTCTGATTGGAAGACAATGAGTATTTGAAATTGTTGTTTTTAGATGGTTGTGGTGGTTGGTATCTTTTTGTCATATTATGTTTATAATACCTTAATTTAGTGTTTTTAGTGCTTTTATTATTAATGTGGTTTCATTTTGTAGGTTTTAATAAAGAATCTGAAAATTTAAGGAAAACACCATTTTATGTAAAACCATCATAACCTTGAAAGTTAAGATGAAGAAGCAGGGAATATAACATGAAGAATAGGGAAAATAAGAGAATACCATAAAAATAATACAACTCGCAGTGCACCTATAGCTAGCAATAATGTGATTTGTCATCATAAAGCCACAACGGGGTGTCATAAGCATAACAATGTAACTAAAATACAACACAACATGATTTCACGGATTTATAATTTTAATTATAAATAGAGAAACAAGTTAAGGGATTAGGAGTCCACTTTTATATTGTCTAAGGTGGTTTTTTGAGTAAGAGGAAGGTGAAAGAGGAGTCTGATTTTATATTGTCTAAGGTGACATCTCGAATTTCTAATTTTAATTATAAACGAAAGCCATCAACATGATTTTATTATTCATCATTATAAGTCTTACTATTTAGTTTTCAATTGTAAAAATTATAAATACATTAAGGATGAGTGGTTAGTGTCCTTAGATTAGGTTCCCTATACAGGATTCAACCCTAAACATGTGATTTTGTATCTAATTTTTTATGATTGCTTTTGTAACGAACCTCTAAGAAATTTTATATAGGTTTATTTGTATTTAATGCTTTCTCTCATTATTGAAATTAGTATAATTGATCTAGAAGGAAATGAGACTCAATGATAATTTATGCTAAGATCGAATGTGGGTGAGAAAGGTCTAGAGGGGGGGGGGGGTTGAATATACCTTACCCTTAAAATTGGGTTAAAAATGTTTTTTTTTCTCAAAATATGAGTTTCACGGAAGTTGGGCAATGGAAATTTGATAGAATATGTGTTGGATCGATATCACAAGTTACATTATATTTAGACGACGCAATAACATATGAAACAGAAAAAAATCTTGTACATTTGAATGAGGTGTCACGAAACAACTGTTAGAACACAGATTGGTTCTTAATAATATCTCTATGTTTTGATGATAACTATTATGAAATTTTGTAATTAAGAATTATATACTCTAAAATTTGCTTAAGAATGTTTGCTGCAGATATTAAAGTAAATATCACTCCAGAAGCAAATCAGATCTGAACATAAGAAATATGCAAGGCTCTGAAGTATCATAAGCATTCCTTAGAAGATTCTGAACGCTGCCATCAGAAGATTCTGAGCGTTGGCTCCAGAAGGATCTGAAGCAGAAGCTCCAGAAGAATCTGAAGCAAGTCAGAAGCATCTGAACCAATGAAAAATTCTGTATGAAGAGTTTTCAAGCATAGTTACTTCAGAAGACTCTGAGAGTACTAACACTACCAGTACTGAGGATCTGACCCAAAACTCTGCTCTGAACTTATACATGCTAAAAGCACACTTGCTGCAAAGACTCTGATTCAGCAAAACTCTGATCAACATCAGAAGGCTCTGATCAATTTAGACTCTGATGATTCTTGCTGAAAATTGTTGAAGAAGAATTCAAAGATTATGTCCGTTGGAATATCCAAACGACTCTTTCCTTATTTATGCTAGACACAAGAACACAGACAAAAAGGATTTCTCTGTGCTTTCTTCTTCTAGGAAAGGTCACTTGATGTGAAGACAAAAAGGCTCAGACCTTTTGGTACACACTTCTCAACGTGAAATACTCTTGGATCACGGTTCCTATAAAAGCAAGTCTCCACTCATCTTCTTCAGTTGACGAATCACTTGAAAAGAATTCATTATCAAAGCTCTCATACAACTCATATATTCTTTCTAGAATTAATTTCTTTGTTCTTAATCTTATGTGAAAAATCACAGTTGTGATAAAGCTTTATTAGAAGCATTTTAACACTTATATTTAGTATTACATTTGATTGTAAGAAAACCTTAAGAAGATCCAGTTAGGATCAATAGTTCTTGAGAAGACTTTGAATAGTTGTTCTTAGTGCTTACTATTGTAATCAGTTGATTAAATAGTGGATTAAGTCCTTAATTGAGAAAGGAAAATCACTCTAGAAAGGGTGGACTGGAGTAGTTGAGTTCAACGAACCAGGATAAAAATAACTGAGTTTTTACTTCTAAGTTTTTATCTTCATACTTATTCAACCCCCCTTCTAAGTATTTTCTCACCTTCAGTTGGCATCAGAGCTCCAGTTCTGTGTGTGCTATCACTTCACAGTGACAGAAAAGATCCAGTGAGAAAAACTTTGATATATATTTGGTTGTTACTATGGCTGATACTTCAATATCTAACATTAACAACAAATATGAAGAAAGGGACAGAATCAGCACTAAACCCCCTATGTTTGATGGGGAGAAATTTGATTATTGGAAAGACAGGATTGAAAGTTTTTTCCTTGGTTATGATGCTGATTTATGGGATTTGGTCATAGATGGATATGTTCATCCCATTGATGGGAATGGCAAGAAAGTAGATAGAAAATCTATGACAGAAGCCCAAAAGAAGGAATTTAGAAATCACCACAAGGCTAGAACAATATTGTTAAATGCAATATCTCACACTGAGTATGAAAAGATCACAAATAGAGAAACTACATTTGACATGTTTGAGTCCTTGAAGATGACTCATGAGGGAAACTCTCAAGTCAAGAAAACAAAGGCTCTGGCTCTAATTCAGAAGTATGAAGCCTTCAAGATGGAAGAAGCTGAATCTGTTGAAGCTATGTTCTCTAGATTTCAAATACTTACAACTGGACTAAAGGTTCTGGATAAAGGATACTCTACTACTGATCATGTGAAAAAGATCATCAGAAGCTTACCTACCAGATGGAGACCTATGGTGACTGCGCTGAAAATGGCTAAAGATCTGAACAAGATTTCCTTGGAGGAACTAATAAGTTCACTAAGGAGTCATGAAATTGAACTTGAGGAAGATGAACCTCAAAAGAAAGGTAAATCAATTGCCTTAAAATCTAATAAATCTGCTAAAACACTGCAGGTAATAGAGGAAAGCTCTGAAGA